GTTTTGAGCCCACACACTCAAGCTTCGACCTTTGCAGTACAGGGATAGTGTTGGTCTGTCAGGTTTGTGAAACAGTAACTTACCTGAGAAATCCTAGGAGCTAGCGAGTTAAAGGGATAGGAAGCTGTAGCTCTATGTTACTGCCTCACGTTCTGTTGAGCCTTTCAATTGTGTGTTTCTTCTGTGAAACTGTCATTTCCTATAAGCACAAAAAAAGGGCTCCAGGGGACCTTCAAGTTACCCAACTCCCTCAGCTCTCCCAAATGGCCCCATTAGACCTCTGTCATTTCCTTACAGATGTTTTTTTCTGCAGGCCAAATGACCTCTGGAGGATATCTTCATTTTTCTTTTTTTTTTTTTTTTTTGGTGGTGTTACTTGTCTTTGCACAGTGGATGTGGAGGACAGTTTCTTTCCTTCCTTCCTCTTTGCAAGCCTACTACTTGAGCATTATTTCCCAGCTTCTTGTTTCAGGAATAAGCATAGGTTTATAGATTTCTGATCATTCTTTTCTGCTGAAGAGGATCTTTCCGTAGCGGATCTGTTTGTATCCAGAAATCTTGTGCTCAAAACTAGGACTATCATTCCAGCCAAGGTCTTATCAGAGTAGTGTACAGAAGAAGGATTTCTCTTCTGTACATCCTAATGTGATGCTGACTTTTCTGTGGCAGTAAGTTTGATTGTTATAACCCCTTCTCTCTGGATCTTACTATTTCCTACTTCAGTCTGTTTGTCTCTACTGAAATTCTGTTATGGCTTTTTCAGTTCTCATCTTCATTTTCAAATGAAAATTTTCTTTTGAGTTCTCATCCTGTCCTCCAGTGAGCTCGCAACACTCTTCAGCTTGATATCTGCAAACTTAAGCTTGCACTGCACTGTATTGTCAAGTAAATTCAAAAGCGAAACTTTAGACAGCGCAACTTTACTTGTGACAGTGCAACTTTATAACTATTTCAAGTAAACTGTGTTTTCTCCCACCAAAGTTGGGCACACGAAGTATGTAGTACTTTGTCAGGATCACTGTTTGTTTTCTAACAACACCTGCTTTTGTTAAATGCCTCACTATAATCGGGATGAGTCTGCTGCTGCTTTTCCTGTCTAGCAGGCTGTTGCTTCGTAATATATTTTATACTTAACAGGAAAGAGAAGATTTTGAGATGGCTGGTTGAAAAACCGCATTTTGATCTGCACATTCTTTCTCTCCAGATATTTTTCAGTAAGAAAAATGTGATGAACGGAATCATCAAAAACCTGCTGCTATGAGAAGACAGGGCTGGCAGAGGCTCTGTTGTTGTTTGTTACTTGTATTTTCTTATGCTGGGCTATACTGGAGAATCTGGACACAGTCCTGTTACTTCTCGTGCTGACTTTAGGAAACACCGTCCATTGCTTTTGATTAGCTATAGGTACATAAGTATAGGCTGTACTGAGGATGTGCCTTGAAAGACTCTTTGGATCCTCTTTGTGCAGGCAGAGTAAATTAATTAGTATTTTAAAAAATGTTGGACCCCTTTCTAGAAAGAAACTCCTCTTTAGAAAGAAACCAACCTCTGGAATATCAGATCCCCGTCTTAATCCCTCTCTAGTCTGAAGAATGTTGAATTCTTTTTTTTTTTGTCATGGAATCATGAATGATGTTGCTTGCCAGGAATAGACAGCCTTTACAGTGCAGCTGTGGAAGTAACTTAGGCGGGTGGAAGTCACAAGAACTTGAGGCAATATGTGACTAAAACTGTTAAGAACTTTCTGTCCCTCTGGGTGCTTTCAGACAGGGTAAACATGTGCTGGCAAATGCTGATGCCAACTTGGTTAGCAGGGTCTCATGTAACAGAGGACTTGTGCTGCCTTTATGGGTAGTAGGTAGGAATTAAAGTCTGCCTGTGCCATTGGATCCTGATGTTACACTGACCAAAAATTTAATTCTGCTACTTTTTTTTTTTTCTACTGCTATCATCTTAATTAAAGGGAAAAGGAAATCAAGTGTTGTGGGCAGGCATGCCGAGTGAAGCACAGCCGAGTCTTTCTCAGCTGTTACTTTCTCGGTAACAAATGATAAAACTGTTAATATGAGCGATAACTCTTGGAAAACGGAGTTGGGGAGGGCCAATGATATGTAAAGGATTTGCAGAGAATTCCTTGACATTTATCATGCAGGTTTTAATTTTGTTTTTAGTGAAACAAAAGCAGCATCAATCTCAAATATGTCTTTTTTTATGCTGTGAGGAAAAAAAAAAAAAAAGGACATTTACATGTAAGACAGACCTCGCAGCCACTGTAGACAATGTGCTGTTTTGGATTCCCACCTTGAGTTCTGGCTGCTAAGCCTACTTGCACCTCCTGGAGACAGGAATGTACAAGACATCCTTCATCTTGGCCTGTCTTTTCCCCTCTAACAGAACTGCAAGGTGGGAAAAAGTTTTACTTTTGTACTGTCAGTGCTATTCTTCCCTATTCCCCATTACCAGAAAATAATGAAATGAACTGTAAGGTCTGGGTCTGAGTAAATCAGCAGTTGACCATGAAATCTCCATTTCCCCTTCTGAATTAAATGTCCATTTCCCCTTCTGAATTCAGCAGTGCTTCTGTAGAGGAGGCGGTCAGCATATTTATTAGTGTTGAGAACTGTTGCAGGGGAGCGAATGTGTCTCTGTAACTCACTGCATGATGTGTCATTTCTAACTGGAGACCAGTAGGGTTTTGTTTTCTTTCCAAGTTTTCACGCTATTTCAATTTGTGATCAGAAAAGCYGGAATTAGGTTTTTAACTTTTTTAAACCCGTGAGAATTGTTCAGGTAGCCATCTGTCTTGTAACTGCAGTAAATGTGTGTGTGCGACTCAGGAGCTGCTTTCCCTTAGAGTGGATTCATTGAAGTGAATTGTGGGCTATTTGATTTATAATCAAAATACCCTCAGTTTGTTTGGAAATCTTGTCTTAGGATTTTACATTACTTGTAGAGCAGCTTAGGATCTCAAATACAAAAATGTTCCTCTTGTGTACTAGGCGATGGAATTATCTTTTACCACTGCCAAAGCGAGGTGGGTAACATTTCTGGGCCGTGAGCACACTCCCGTGGTGCTAATATTTAGATAATATTTTATATGGGATACTGCAAAATCATGATATTAGCTATGCTCAGCAGTTCCGCTCTTTGAGGCTTCTCTTTCCCTTCTCTTGACTAGCTAATGAACCCTTTTATTTAAAGGTATTTTTGCACTCAAAAATGTCAGCTCAATGCCTTTGGAGATCAACATGCTGTGCAGTCGTTCTGTCTCCCTCCAAAGCCAGCTGCTTACCGTGGTAAATACAATTGGAAACAGACCAGATGCTTTTCTTTTTGTAAGGTATGCAAGGGAACAAACACCTATAAGATGGGTGTATAATCTGTGTGAGGGAGCGAGATATGCAGTGCATGGCCTGATTACACAAAGTGCCCGTGTAGCAACTGTTTGTGCTTTTGCTTTTACAGGTTCATCTCAAAACAGTCGTCATGGATATTTTTTCTTGAATTGACTTCAATGTTGGCTTTCATGTTTTCTATTGTAACCTTGTGAATATTTTAATACACTTTTTTTCCCATTACTAGTCTGCTGGATAAATCTCATCTGCTTAGGGCCCGCAGAGGGAGGGGGACTGAACTGCCCCTTCCCTCTTCCTCTCAGGCTTCAGTTGCTGTGGTCGCTGTCAGCTCAGCGAGCTCCCCGCAGTGCAGAGTTCACCCTTTGAACTGATAACCCAGAATTACCCCTTAAGCTGGAGAACTGGGATGTGCACGTGAAACTACTTAAAGCTGCCCTGGCAGCGTGCAGAAACACAGCGCGAGCCAGCTTCACCATAGGACAAGCTCTGGAAAAGGGCATCCGACAGAGTATCTGGCAAAAACATCATGCAAGAGGGGAAAAAAAAGCTTCTTTCCACTGGATAAGACAACACAGTGTTATGCGGAGGGTAAGAAGGTGAGGACACCTGTGCCACAAGGTGCTGTAGCTCTTCTCAGCATAGAACAGCTTCCTCCCTACCACTGTCACACTGGCGTTTGGTAACTCAAAAGGGAGTGTGGGGAAAGGAGGGAGGAAACATAATGACATGGCAGAACTCCAGTATTTCAAGGCATCCATTTTACTGAATGATGAAGAAGCTTCTGTCTCTCACTTGTCTTGCTCTCCTGAATCTAAAGCCCCAAGCTCTGCTACTGACTGACTTTCAAAGCTGGAAGGAGTCACTGTGACAGCACAGCTGATGCCGTGCTCTGAGCACAACTGCCTTTTATTGCTCAGTAACAGCTGGGCTCTTGCAATGTAACGTATAGGCATTGCTCTGGAATGATTTTGTACTGGCACCTTGTTCCCTGGGATAAGGTAGAGAAAGGTATAGACTTTCAGAGAAAGCTTAAACAGTCGTTCACAAGTACACCACACCTGGGGACTGCCTGCTGCTCTCTCCCCCCAAGATGATGGTTCTAAAGTACATGTTTTGCGAGTGTACACCTTCACAGGAACTCTGTGTGTTGTGTGTACTTAGGGAGGAGGAAGTGAGTAAGAGTTGTGGCTGTTTACTTTTCACTTTCTCCAAAGCAAGGTTCATAGATGAGCCCATGTGTGCCTTTAGATGTAGAGGATGACAGCAGCTAAAACAACCCTGGGCACTTACACAGGATAGCCCTCCTCTTGATAAAGATGGTGGTAGCCAGAAAACAAATGAAGAGGAACACAGCTGAAGCTGCAAAGAGTATCCTGAAACTACCAAGGAAAAGCAGCAGGGAATAATGTGTAGATGCCACTGTTGCTGATCATCGAAGTTGGGTAAAAGCCCACGCATGGAGCACTTCAGTCTGAGTCACAACCACCACGCTGCTCCTGGCGCTGATCAGCAGTGGCCTATATTCCCTATAAGGGAATATGGGATCAGACTGTGGTCTGTGGCTTTTCAAGACACACTACAGCTTCCCTAAAACAAGCATGAGAAACGCAAGTTTAATTTAAAAGCTTGCACTTTATTTAAATGCATAGAGTTACTCTGTTATTTGCACATAACAGAAGAGATAAGAGAAAACTCTTGCTCTCTAGGCATTTAGATTTCCTCTTTCATTCCTTAGAGGAAAATATTAAAATTAGTGAAGCTAGGTCCCACTGGGAAGGGCTTGTGCGTAGCTGAGTCTGGGCTGTAGGGTTAAGCATCCTTTTGCTGCTCTTGTTGTTTTGCCTTTTGCTCCTGATTATACCTATGGGAGAGGAAAAAAAAAAAGCCAACTAAGAATGCACATTAAATTATAGTAACAGTGTTTTCATAACATCTTGGTCAACAAGGGAGATGTAAAATTACAGCAGACCAAGACAGAACTCCGGATAGGCAGCTTATGTAGAAAACTCCCAATTAGTTGCTAAGTTTTGCCTCATTCCAGGCCAGGCCAAAACACAAAGAAGTCCAAACTTGCCTCCAATAAGGAACTGTTTTTCAGCTGCTGCTTTGCTTAAGGGTCTTTTGGTGGTCCCTCTGGAACTGACAATGTTTAGCATTGAAAACTGACAGCAGCGCAAAGCTTAAGAATGGGAGAAAGTTGGGGCTTTCTGTCAACCGGACATACAGCTTTTAAGGAATGTGTTCAACCCAGAAACTACAGCTTAAATAGAGCATTCCTTAAGATGTGCTGTAGTTACACTGAAGATACTGGGAAGCTTCACTGTTACTAAACTGGGAAAGTAGGACTGCAGCACAGGCCACGTTCTGTGCTACTTACTTGCCGAGTTTCTCTTGCATGTTGTGCTGCCATCAGGGCCAGGGGATTTTTTTTTTAACTTCCAAATTAAGATTAGATAGTATGAGAGCTTATTTAAAATACTGAGTGGAAAGTAGCCCTTATCACATACCTCCATATTCGGAAGAGTTGAGAACCACCAGCACAGCCAACAAAGAAGTTCACAGCAAAAAGGCCCCAGTTTTTAGGAATAATGACGAGAGAGTACCTTGACCAAATGAGGCCTGTTGAATGAAAAGGAACGTTTAGAGGTTACTCAAGTTAGATATCTAAACATGCCTCTAAAAGACAGAGCCATGGGCCAGGTTAAGTACGTTAACTGGGTTAGACAATTGAATAACATTAAAAAAAGGCACAGAAAAACCTCTTTCTTGGTTAGAAACACATAAAGCAGCAGTGGGAGAGCACGTATTATGCTTTTCCAAAATAAAGCAACTAGACAATAAGTTCAATCATGGTCTTAATATCACATAAAGATCCCTGTGTTCCCTACAAAGTCCTGACCTTCACTCTCCAACACAGCTGCAGGGTAACTGGCCTTTTGCCATAGTGTATCCACCTTGCTGCAGCAGCTTAGAGATTACAGAATGCGTCGGTAAATAGGAGATTTCCATATCATGCAAACCAGCACCGTGTCACCTTTCACAATAAAGTTCAGAGGAGGAAAAAAAAAATATCAACAGTAGTTTTGAGCTTAGCTTTAGCTGTTCACCTCACCCTCCCCTGCCAAAACAACCTAAAGGTGGGATATTGGTTTTGGCAGGGTGGAATGTCGTGGCAGAGCATAGTGCAACAGTGTGTATGCCAGTGCTTCCAAGTCTGTTTAGTACATGGAAATTCTTTCCAGTTATGCCAGGATAATTAGCCTGGCATTGTTTAATCTCTCTAAGTCTGCTCTATAAAAAGCCACTATATTCTGGGTTGATTTCAAAGTTACTTGACCCGAAATGAAAGAGGACACTTACTGGAATGAGTGACATTATTGTACCTTAAGGGATGAAAATCATAACAATTTGCTGTGGACAACTCCAAATGAAGATGCTCATGGAAAACTGTGTTGTATATTCACAGAACTTTTGCACATTTACCAATCACAAGTACATACCATAACTGAACCTTTTCTATGGAAATGGATCAGTCCTAAGAGAGAATTCAGTAGGTACAAGTTTAGAYGGGGCCCTGTGCAGTGCTGTCCTTACCTGTGGCCATCAATACTGCAGACTGCGCCGTGCTCAGCTTCTCTGCCGGCCTGGTCATATCAGCCATTCCAGCACATACCAAACCCTGACAACAAAAATGCATYGAGTCTCAATACAGCATAAAGACCTACTGCTAGAGATGCAAATGCTTTACAATGGGAAGCTGCTTCCTAGCTCAGTGCTTACTCTGTGTGCATATGAAGGAGCTGGGATGCACTGTATGAGCAGAGCAATTAGACTCTGGGAGATACCGTTCACTTCTAGTCCCTTGTGGGGGGATAAGAACAGATACGGGGGTGCATTTTGGAACCACTTGCAATACAATCACAGGCAGTGACAGCTTTGCATTAGCCCAAGAACACGGTTAACTCAAGTACAGCACCTTTGGTTCTGCTCCAAGTACAAATTGTTTTTAATACAGCAAGTGGACGCTTKTCTGAATACCACCCTTCTATTGGTTCTCCCTCAAGCTCAAGCTTAGATAATGCAAGTAAAAATGTAGATGTGATACCAAGTTCTTGTTCTCAGCTTCTTCTGAAGGAAGGTAAAAGCTATTTTTTTTTAATGTAACATTACAAGAAGGAAATTTCCAGGGGAAGGAGGAATAACTTGGCTAATACACTGGAGAACGYGGCTAGCACGTTTGCTGTTTGGCTTGTTCTGCTGGGTTCCTGCCCTCTACCGGGAACATTTTGATGTTCCCTTATGGGTTCACTGAAGGAAAACTAGAGCTTTTCACGTACTCGCTGCTCCTACGGACTCCTTTGACACCAGCAAGAGAGACAGCTTTTAAGGCTATGAGCTTCAGCRTGCAGCCCCCACTGCATCAGCAGGCTGACGTTGTGCCTCTGAGGTACAGCGGGGAAAGGATATCTGCAGTAAGGAYATCTGCAGTAAACTTGCTTCTACCACACAGAGGAAAAGCCATTGCAATTTCTCAGTGCAGAGCTTCACTGTGAGCCCAGAGGGCTCTTGCTGCCCCTTCACAGAAGAAAAGCCACGAGTGTATGGGCTTGTTTCATTCAGCAGCAGTGCTGAGCAGCCTACCCAAAGGGTGGCCCCCCTATGCTCAGGCTCCAGACACCTCTAAGCAAGGAGAGGGTCAACCCGGCTCCTGCAGCGCCAGCTCACACTGACCAAGGCATTGAGCTATCCCGCATCCGCGCACCCTACGCACAGCTCGAGATCTGGAAAACTGGCGGGCTTCACAGGAGGAAGCTTGTGAAACAGCTGGCACAGGTACGAACGGGTTGTGCCCTTGCTTGTTTTCATGCTACCAAGATYAAGCAGCTTTATACTATAGCTCATTTATTTTATTGTCACCAATTCAGAAACTAGAGCGAGTGCAGAGACTTTGGGCTAGGTGTAACCGCACYGGCGCGGACGCGGCCGAGCGATGCAGCCCCTTTGAGAGCAGGAGGGCATGAGAGAAGGCAGGCATGTTCCACCCGTCCCGATTTTTTGTTTTCTTTCAAGTAGCAGAGGCAGGGAACACGCTGGGTGTGCAGGAAAGCTGCAGCAAGTCTACAYCCCAGTGTGCCCAAGCTGCACGAGTCCAACTCCGCTGTCGTCCATGCCCACGACAAACTACCTGTGTCTTATTCAAGGCTACCTTGCAATCTTAACCGGCCTTCAATCTATATAGGCCTGGCYTCCTTATAATAACCTTCAAATTCCTGAACCTCAGGAGAAATACCAGCTCTAAAATCTGTGAGTTATGCCAGCTCATCTTTACCTACATCAGCAGTTGGTGTTTTACAAATAAAGAACTTTGGGGAAACTTTCAAAAAAGTTAAAATCTTACTTTGAGGGAAAAAAAAAAAAAAAAAAAGAGAGACCCATTCAAACCCACTCCCTCTCCACACACCAAACCCAAAGCCTTACTCTTTCTCCTCCTGCAGCCTTATGTTGTGCAATATGTTACTAGGGCTATTTTTTCTATACATATATTAAGCATTAATGTCTTTGCATTAAATCTTTCAGTAGGCTCAGTTATGTGCTGAGGGTTTACTGCTTGCCCAACGGGCTGCTGCAGGCTGCCTTCTGATCAACATCCAGGTGCCAGCTGGGATCTTACACTTACCCATTTCATAACAGGTGCCCAGAAAAACACCGTTTTGGGACCTAGTGGGGGAGAAGGAAAAAAAAATAGTGAAATATAGGCTATTTTGAAACCTATACTAAAGTTTGGGGGGGGGGTTTGAGTGGAAAAGGGAGGAATAACAAAGTGTGTACATGAGCATAGTTTCCACCACTGTACAAACGCTACCGCCGAATCATATTTCATCAGCTCAGTGCATCAACCTCCCAACTTATGTAATCAGTCCACCTATTTTTGCAACAGACAAGCGTGATTTTATATTTTTAAGCACGGGAGGAAGCTACAGCAGGCAAAATGCATTTATAATCAAAGACAAAAGCTAGAACCAGCCCCAGGAATAGCGAAAATGGTTCCTATGAATGATTAGAAAGCACCCTAGAACTAAACTAAGAGTTACTGTTTGACAGGCACACACTTGTTGTGAGCTGACTCTTCTGAACTGAGCCCCCCAAAAAAACACAGCTCATCTGTCAGTGCAAARGCATCCTGCCTGACAATACTGGATGTTTAAACAAACAGTACAAGTTACAAATATGGGTATATGTCCTAATTGTGACAAGGAAAGCGTCCTCGTGCACTTCCAATCTCCAGCTCTGAATGTGCACATTTTCTAGCAGAAAGCGTTCCCCCCCCCCACTGTTATTCTACCTACAGTCAGAGAAGAATTATGAAAGAAGTCTGCAAAGAAAGGGAGAATAACTAAGGGGAAGGGATCTGGGGAGAAAACAGCTCTCATACAAGCACATTCCTGTGACAGCGATGCCAAAACTGCAGCTGACTGGTTAAAGCAGGCAAGCATGGTTATCACAGCAAGAGCAGACAGCACTAGGCAAAGGTTATCACCTCGAGTCCTAAAGAGGAAACCCGGCTCGAGATATCCCCCCGTGCCCTGCACTAACAGTCAGGACAGCGGCGCTCATTCAGCCAGAGCACGTAAGCTTGAATTCTTTCTAGGCCGTTGCTCACCATTTGGATAACGTGCAAGACGAAGCCAAACTTTCCCTGTAATCTGTTACATATTACGAGTCAACGCTTTGAAATATAAAGGAGACAGCAGGACTTTGGTTGCTTGCTTTTTGCGAGTGCTAAAGGCACTAAAAAAAGGCATTACAGTAACTGTTTATACTCCCCGTTTTGAGCATGGTCTAATCTGAAACGAAGACTTGCRAAAACCTGACGGGTCTCTGCAGCGAGCCCCTGTGATGCAACTCGTACCTGTGGGGCTAAGCAGCGCTGCTACAAGCGGCAGTTGCTGCTTCGCCTCAAACCCTACGCAGCCCCACGGAAGGGGAGSGCACCCGCCAGAGACTGCGACAAAAACTGGCTTAGCAGCTTTGCACAAAGTCCTCCTAGGCCCACGGTACTGGAGAYAGCGATCAGTTTTCAAACTCCAGTTAATAACTATTGTCAGATTGCTTTAAGGATATAGAACATTTCTCCCTACACGGAATTTTGTTGAATGCGTGAAATTGGAGAGCCACTAAAAGTTTCTTAAACTATTGAATAAATACAAGTCAATATTTATGCTTGAAAGATGTAAACTTCAGTTATCAGACAGCCAAACAGCTCTTTTACAGCTCTTTATCTAAATCTTATGAAAGTCTCAATAAGAATGACTTTAATCGTTATTATSTATTTTAGACTAAAACACAAACTGAGGTCTGGGACACTAGAGAATGTGTGTGTGTGTGTGGGGGGGGGGGGAATATAAATTATTAAATCAGCATTCCCTAAAAAACAAGTTTCAAGAATTATATTCATTTTTATCAGCAGTTACTTAATAATTTAAAGCTGTCTATAGGAGTAGGAGAAATTGCTTGAGACAAATAAGGTGCCAAAACAGACTACTCAGAAAAGAGTGTTAAACTGTATAAACTGTGTGTGTTCAGAAGATATTCCAGCTAAGGAGAATTCCCCAACCAGAGCAAGCTCTTCCTAAGCCCTCACCCCCCAAATTTCGCAAGGATGAATTTCCAAGCAGCGTATTGGAGCAGGCACTTCCCAGAGGTTCGTTTGAGCATCCCAAGTGTGACTGGCATTGTGGGACTGATGAAGCATATTGAACACAGCCAGTCTGTGTCCTGGGGAGCTCCCAGTTTCATCGGAGCGAAGCAGAGAGGCCGGAAGCGCTCAGCCCTGCCTGTTCCCTGGGTGCTGGGTGCTCTTCCACCTGGGTGCCGGGTGCTCTCCCCGCCAGGCTGGCGGCTGCTCTCTGCCTTCCCCCCGGGCCTGTCACGGTCCTGCAGCCCGGGGTCCTGCTTTTCTCAGCAGCCGTCAGTTGTTCCACTGAAAGCTTTCCCTGGGTCAGAAAAGAAGCATCATCTGCTGCAAATGATTTATAATTTCATGATCATCGCACCATTCTCAAATTTSACTGGCAATTTTGATATCACCAAGAAAGAAAACCTGAGTCTCCAATTTTTAGCCTGCTTTTCGTAGCCAAAGTGACATGTATTGTGTAACTTTCTCAAGGGCCCTCCTCCAAGGCAAGCAGTGCTGAAACAGAAGCAGCAGTGATTCACCTTTCATACCCGCCTGTTCTACAGCTTTCCTGACCCAAGCCATCAGTACAAGCCATGGCAGTTGCTATCCTGTCTCAAGTAAATATATACAAACACGCACACAGACACATGCACAGGCACCCAGCACCTAAAAAAAAGGATGCTATTTTTAAACCCTATGGGATGACTGTGAACAAAAGGGGGCCACGGACAGCTCCGGGAAGCAGGAAGCAGTTCAGGAGACCCTCCAAAGCAGTTTGACTTGCTACTGTGGTGCTGATGCAAAATAAAGACAGATGTTCCCCACGCCGGCCATGCCCCATACTCAAGATGAGCAATTTCAAGCTGCTACATCTTTAGGCAGAAAGAACGCGGTGCCCACGGGTTTAGCACCTTTTCWGTCAAAATGCTAAGCACGCTGATTTTGCGTATACAAAAACTGCATTAAAGTTACATTGCCGGCTGGAATCACAATTAAACAACTTTCATTTCAAGAAAGGACTGCTGTGGGAGGATGGGGCAACCGACTAAAAGCCAAAGTCCGTTTTCACAGTGCAAATTCCAGGTGGGTGAGGAGTCAAGGATGCACAGCACACTCAAACAAAACAGTGGAAGCACYAGCCTATGGAAACGTTGGAGTTTATGGAGCACTGCTTACCTACCCTATTTAACTTGTTTACATGTCAAACATCACCTGAACAGCGGTTCATTTTAGGAGAGGTTTCTCCCCAGTAACACGAAAAACACGTTTACTCGAGCAAACACGAGCCTTAGGTCAGGTAAGGGTAGCCCATTTAAAGTAAAGCCGAGCCTTTCCCTGGCACAGAG